TAAATCTCGAGTAAAATTTCCTTTCTCAATCTATCCTCCGAAAACCCCAATATTAATTGTTAAACACTCCGTGTAGCGTTTAGTGGGCATGGTATACGAAGTGACAGGAACCAACTAATCTAACCGTGCTAACACCCCTCGTCCGTCTCACAGGGCTCCGAAATTCTAAAAAAAAAAAAAGCCTAGGCCTTCTTTGTGGATCCATCGTTGATCGATCGCTAGGTGGGTGATAGCTAGATTTTCCTTCAGTTGATCCGGGGTTTTGGTGATTAGACTTGAGCTAGATTAGCCCAAAATCCCTGCCAGGAGGAACGGTAACCCAGAGGCGACCTCGGCGAGCAAGACGTCCAAGGTTTCGGAGATGAAGTGGATGTGATGCGTGGATGGATTAACGATGATCGGAAAATCAATCTTAATTTGGGTCGATCAACTTCTGGTTGTTGGTATGCGAATGGGAGAAGTGGAGTTTTTAATATGTGTTGGGTGTCATTCCATGAGGATGGAATTGTATGGGATTTCAATGGGGTTTTGGATTTCGACATGGATTTGGCAATATGACGGTAAGATAGATGGCTGAAGCTTAAAATATATTAGAAAACCCACCGTGAAAAAAAAACCGACATCAAAATATGAGACATCAAAATATTAGACGTTAAGATATTAGAAATAAATGTAGATTGATATATATAGAAGAGGGGGTAATGATCGTAGTCCAAAAGAATAATTACAAAATAATCTTTGTACAAATAAATGCTCCATCTACCCCTACCATAACCTTTCCAGCCATGCAAAACTGTGCCAAGTATGTCCGATTCCAAACGCCCAGCTTTTGGTAAAAAAATCCACAATTCACCATTTCCCGTTTCAATCTCTATCCTAACCTCACAAAGACATGTTATCGTGCAAAATAGTGACCGCCTCATTCCATCCCCTGCTAGCCGCGACATCACTAACCGTTCTCCCCATTTCATCCTTTGCCTCCAAATTGACTCCCGCTTTTCCCGCGACCAGTTTGAGAATTTCCGCATCCCCATTTTCAAGCGCTTGCATAATTGCATTCCAGCCTCTATAGATTTTATTCGGATCTGCACCATGATCTAATAACAATTCAATCATGTCCGTATCGCCGCCCTGATAACGACGAAGTGCTTTGACGATAGGTAAATGCTCACCAGGAGCATTGATATCTGCACCCGCTTCATTGAGGAGGTATTTAACGATTTCAATGCGGTCTTCGCGGATGGCGGTTGTAAGAGGCGAAAAGACTCCTCCGTTTTTGTCCTCAACTGACACACCAGCTGCGAGAAGTAACTTGACTGACTCCAATTGATTTGCATGAACTGCCATCTCCAAAACTCCTTTATAAGCACGAGGTTCCGGCATGACAGACAAGATGCGTTTGAGAATTTGAGGACTGCGAACTGCCATACAAACAGGCCAGTCTTGACCTCGAACATTAACATCTGCTCCTCGTAATAACAGGAGATCAATCATTTCGAGACGTTCTTCGCGAATGGCGGTTGTGAGTGGTGACATTCCTTTCGCGGACTTGTCGTTGGGATTTACGCCTTGGTCGAGGAGCCAATTAAGTGCTTCAATGTTATTGCAACTAACTGCCATCTCGGCAATACCTTTGGGGCTATGGATATCTGCTCCGGCACTTACCAAGGCGGGAAGAAAATGGATTCGGTTATGAGTAACACATTTCCAGGCTGGATATTCACTTGCCATGGTGTTAGGATCGGCTTTGTTGCTGAGGAGGAGTTGGAAAATATCTGGTCGGTCGTCTCGAATCGATGTACATAATGGAGTGTACACGCCATCTTTCTTGGCATTGGGGTCAACGCCATGGGTAAGGAGGGTACGGACTGATTCAATTTTGTTAATACTGGTCGCTAGTTCCATGATTCCTGGGCATTTCTTGGGATCCGCTCCATGTGTAAGGAGATATTGGAGACAGGCAGTTTGGTAGGTGGCAGGCCAGAGCATATGCTTCGGGCCTGGGAGATTGGGATCCGCTCCATTTTCTAACAAGATTGAGACAATGTCTGCTCTTCCACATGTAATAGCTTCGAACAAGGCTGTCTTTCCTTCCTTACTTTTGGCATTTGGGTTGGCGCCATATTTGAGTAGTAATTCCACGAATTTCTTAGAAGTCTTCTTATTGATAGAAGCGATGAGAAGAGTATTACCATTTGAGGTTGAGTGATTGGCGTCACCGTTGTAAATTAAGAAAAGATGTGAGAAGCCCACCATGTTTTGCATAACCGATACAGCAAGAGGTGATTCCATATCGATACCGGCAACAAGATTAGGATCAGCTCCGTATCTCAGAAGTGTGGTAGCTCCAGCCAGGAAGGATTTATCAACAGATGCTCTTAAAGGCGTAATTCCGTCTCTATCATGTTCGTTCGGGTGGGCGCCAAAAGTAAGTAGTAATCGTACACTCTCCGCATCATGAGCTAAAATTGCCTCCTTAAGGGCATTGACCTCTGACCCTGTGTTTGCTGGTACACCGCCATCCAATAACTTCTCTACGGCTTTGTGGTTTTTGTCGCGAATAGCAGAGATCAGAGCAGCCTTCATAGGTCCAGTATTGGAGCCCGCACTACCTCGAGGACTCCAACGAGGCATATTGTCGGGATCTGCCTTGAGTCTAATTGCCTCGGAAGGGTTTATTATCATTCCATCGACATCATTGATGAGACTGCCAGATTCAATAGTCTCGGTATGTGATCGTGCATCATCAAGGTGATGATATCTAAGATTGTTGTCAAAGGAATTGATCAAGTCTGTATAAGATCTCTCGCCGGAATCATGCGAATTGACGGTTTGTGGACTCATGGGAGTATGAACACTATTCGTATTATATCGTTGAAGGTTTGAGCCCAGAAGCAAGGAAGCATCTCTAGCCGATGCTCTATCTCCCATTGACTCCGGATGCTGACTAGAAGATGTTCTACCGGGCCATCCATTGGTGGGTAGTGGAGGGAGAGGAAAATTTGGAAGGGGCATTTGCGGTGGTTGAACACTGTGGTGGCTACTAGCGTCGCTGTTTCCTAATCCAAGAGGCGACGGCATGATTGGCGTAGGACTTGAGCTGTCTGAAGTTTTGCTGGGTTTGCGTCCAGCCTTTTCGTCCATCCTATTGAGCGCTGCAGCTAAGCCAAGGTAACCAATACCCAACTCCTTCTCAATTTTATCACTTCCCAAACTCCATTGGAAAACTAATGCGCTCATCCTCAAATCATCTCTTGTTTTACTCAATGTGCCGGCCATTTTTCTGATATCATTAGGAGTGTTACTGAAAATTTTTCCCCAACCTCGCTTGAAACTTCCCACATTTTCATGATGAAGAAATTTAGCAAGCAATTGGTAGAACACTTGGAAATTCGCTTGGGTGGCTCGAAATTTATGATCGAGCTCTGTTATCATTTCGATGGGGAAGTTTTGTACATGATGATTGCATTCTTCGAGTCCAGCTTCGATTGAAAAAAGGATGTGACAAGTGTCGAGGAAGTCGTGGGCGAGGGCTTCGAAACCTTGAGGTAGCTCTTTCACCGATGTAAGGTATTCCAAGACCCTAACGGAAATGCGATCGCTGAGAGCTGTCGTTTTCAGGCAGAGCTGCATACATTGTGTTTGAGCTTTGGAGAACTTTCCGGAATTTGGCGTTGGTGGTGCCATGATTTGTTTTTGCTGCGGGGGTGGCGCAAGATTTCTAGGTATTGTTTTTTCGGGAAGAGTTCTTTCAGCCAATGTTCTTTCGGGGAAAATGCTATAAGTGTTGTGGTTGGTACTTGGACTATTGGGTGATGGTGGTAAGCCCAATTCTCCTTTGGATAAAAGTTGGAAGGAGTCCTTAGAGCTTAATGAGAGAGCTTCAGCGAATGAGTATTCAGCGGCATCGGCTCTTTGCCTGGAGACTGCAGCGGCCTGTGTACTCATACTGATTTGGGAGAAATGAAATGAAAGTGAATGACCAATCTGTATTCAGAGAGAAAGCAACAGAAGGTGGAGAATGGGAGACTTTATGATTATCATGTCGTAGAGTTGCAGTCCCCGGACTTATTGGGATTTTCGCCCTCAGACCTCTTCACAGCACGAGTAGTATTTGAATTTGATTCGCCAATAATTGACGAGCTCGATCCATTTCCAGTTATCGCCATCAAAATCATTATCTTTGAATTACATACAACCGCAAACTCTAATATAAACCCAAGCTATTGAGTGAAAACAATCATGGGAGTACCAGTGATGGACTTGCCGAAGCGTTGAATTCGTATTGTCATAGGCTATCTTTACCCAGATATCTCTAAGCCTTAATTTTAGATCCGGATTTCGACCAAAGTCTAGCCCACTAGGGGTAGAGTGGAGTCAGTCGCACGAGCTGAAGTACGCGAAGTGGGTAATCAGCGCAAGGATATAGCCGAGATGCAAGGTAGGGTGTGAGAAAAGACACCATGAAAAGCTCAGGGTCCAATGTTCACTTTAAGTGCTTGTTGGGGAACAGTTGGCTGGTTCGTTTTCAAGAGATGAAAATTCATTAACAATCGGTTGATAGCTTGATAAAATGATTCGCAATTTCAAGTATCATGGTACATATCTACCGTCCCGCCACTGTTTCATTTCAATTGTGATGGAGCGAGCTAGTCAGATCCAAATCATAATTTCCATGAATTTCTGAAATTCAATCATGAAGTCCATCAAATAATTCAAATATCGGTTCGATGGAAAATAGCGATCAAGCATCAAATCCATTAACTCAATTAGTCAACGCCCGGTCCAATCATGTGTGAAATCTTGCAAGTCTGTGTGGCTGCGTATAGTCGGCAAGTGTCAAATTTCTTCCCAAAACGACCGTAGTGAGATTGTAATGATGAGGACTAGTACTGAATAGGGTATAAAGAAGCTGGAATCATATGGGAAAGGTCGGAGTGAGGATTAGCTCAGGCCTACATGTAATCGCCGATGTTCGTGTGAAAAAATTGCGAAATGCGCTAAGTAGGGCTCGCATTCGATGTTCCATTCTCCATTTTAGCAAGTTTTCCCGATGCCTTTTGCAAACACTGCCATCTCACCCCGCTGAAGCCTATAATACTATTGAATGCCTTATCCCTTCCCCTCATATTTTCGAGTAGTACAACCACATGCTCATCGTGGCTAGCACTGTGCATATCGCCACCAGCTTCCCCGCGAAATTTCAGCTCTAGTTTATCTTTTCCGATAGTCATTTTCGCTAGTGGAGCCAACAGTAATTCTTTCGTCTGTTGTTTTGACATTTCTATTAACTCGCTGTATGGCTTATTGAACGATTTGCAGGGCAAAATGTTATGACCTAAAGCTTCAAAACGAATGATTTTGGTGGAAATTATGATATGTCCTGGAACATGATGCAAAATGCAACGAAATGACATAATATCTTTAGATTCTTCATGCATAGTGCCCATACCAAGAGTTTGAAAATTAATCGTCTCGGCTTTGGAACTATTTGCATCATCGCCCACTGGTCTCATCATCACCTCCGGACTGTCAAATCGGTCAGTTGATTTCTCCAATGCGTTTAAGTTGATTTCTCTTAAGACAGACAATCCGCGTTCCTGGAGATATTGGAAAGACCATTCTGGGTATGTGGGAATATCCCAAAAAGCCCACTTGAGCGGCGAAACAAGTAGGCGATATCGAGGATACAAAGAGCTAATGGGCCAGCAGCCAAAAAATATGAGACCGACCACAACCCAAGATACCTTCATGGTAAACTGCATCGAAGCACATGCACTAAGTAGAAACACGGCTACAAAAAGGAAAAGAGAGTAAAAGGTCTTCTGTGGGCGACGAAAGTGAATAAAACTGTCGTAGACCTCAAGTAAGTTGGCCAAATCCGCAATTTGTAACTGTAGATATGGGCCAATTTTGTCCAAAAGAGGGCCTAGCCAGTCTTTGCTTCCATGCTGGTCCATGAGCTCTCCGGCCTTCAGAGCTGTAGTTCCTCGATCAATATTTCTTGAAAACTCATCCCGCAACGCAGACACTGATGAAGGGTAATAGTAGTTCTTTAAAGTCGCGTAGACAATATACGCATACTTAACTCAAAAAAGGTTAGAAAAGATACTTCGTATCCGAAACTTACTTACCAAATATGACATTAAATATGATTTATACCAAAGAAATAGATATGATATCAACCATTTAGATGTTCGCCGATTGTCCTCCCATCTGTAAATCTTCCTGATATCGACTGCCAATTCCTGCAATGGAGCACTAACTATAATCAGTCTTTCTATGTGTCTGCGAAAAGTGTCTATATCAGAAAGAAGTTCTTCATGATCATCGATATATTGCGCGGCGAAAGGGCGTGAGCCATGAAGAAGTTTCTATTAATTGATTAGAATGAGGTTGATAATTTCAAGCCGGTGCAGACTCACATATCCAATCCATTTTTCCCATTTGAGTTCTGTGAACCGATGATCATCTTTCATTTCAAAATGCTGAATGGGCGGGAATGACGGAGGAATACTATCAATAGCTCGAACACGGTGAACATGTCTGGCCGTAACCCAAGCAACTCGCATTTCCTCTCGGGTTCGCTGGATTTTGTCAACTCTCTTTTCGAAGTAGTCAATATTATTTTGATGGTCCTCAATCGCATCCTCATCATCGCCATCATGTTGAGCGTCCTTGGCGTGCTGTAAACCATCGTGGGCTTCAAGGAAGTCAAAGTTTGCTTGATTTGAGAGATATGGCCGACTTTTGGCCAATTTCTCCGCAGCTTGTCTTGTGGCTTTCGATTTGATTGACGTGATAGGGTGAACTATAGCGTCTGCAGTCCCCCTGCAAGATGTTTTTTGTTCTTTCTACTCGTGATCCATTTCCCAATCTGGAGGTATCTAATACCTTGCCTGCGTTGAAAGCTGGGCTCTGATTGATCTTCTCCACCACAGCGTCAAAAAATTCGTCTTTTTCATTATCTTCGAATGTGAAATCGCTATCGTCAATCCTCAACAGGCGTTTGGCTTTTGCCTTTGCCTTCGATCGTAAGCCATCGGGCTTATTATGAAGTGATGAATCATTCAAGATTTGGGAGGCCGGAGGTCCCTCATTATGCATCATAACCTTTTGATCGGTTTCGTCGCAGTAATTACCTGGCTGGGTAGAAGATATCGTTTGACTCTGATCATTCTCGGGCTGTAAAGATATTTATCGACCTTATCAAAGGTAACACCGATGGTGATAATACCGGTATCTGAATGTAAACACAGGTATTTTCCAGTAGACTAAGAAGGGCCATTGGCCTCTGTATCACTGCGACGCTGAAAGAGGCTATATTGCCTCTGATGGCGATACCGTCGGTCGGCTTTCCAAAGGTTGTTTATGTTGTATGTTGTTTGAACTTTTGAATTTGGCGGAGGGAATACCCGTGGACTCCGTAGATAACCTTGGAACTGGTGGAAAGTTTGATTGTGGCTGAAGCTAAGGTTACCCCACCAGCATTCTGTGGCTCAAGATATCAGGCCCAGCCTTACCTGAACTTATCTTTCCTTCAAGTCTCTACGGCACTCTATCCTCAACATCGACCTCCAATATCTCCTCAGGATTGGACTGGTCCTTTATGAAGTCACTATGTCCCCTTTCCAGGCGTGTTTGCAACACGAAGTGTTCATTATGTCGCACTCCCAAACGATCTCTCTTGACGCTGGCCATTGAGACTTCGTGCGACGATACAAGCGTTTCCATTCTAGAGAAGCATGTCAATAATTCTGCCACCTTACACTTCAATTCCAAGATCACATCTGACAATCGATCTTTTGGAGGAGTGTGGCCAATCGCAGCACATGAGTCTCATCAGAAGAACTTGGCACGATTGGTGAAAGAAGCTATTGAGACTTTACCAAGACGAGACTCTACAGATGCATCATTTGAAAACACTATTGCAGTCACATCGCATCATGGAACCAAGTTATACAAAAAGCCAGATTTTGTAACCGTGACACGTGGCCCAGGGATGCGAGCGAATCTCATCACTGGTATTGATACCGCTAAAGGTTTGGCTGTGGCATGGCAAATCCCTTTATTAGGTGTGAACCATATGCAAGCCCATGCTCTAACACCAAGAATGGTATCCGCCCTTGAAGCGGGAAGCAACACTGGAAACGGAAAGTATGAGAATGATCCTGCCTACCCATTCCTCTCTTTGTTGGTTTCTGGAGGACACACCATGCTTGTCCATTCTCGTCAACTTTGCGACCACGAAATCTTGGCAACAACCTCGGATCTTGCAGTTGGAGATATGGTTGATAAGACAGCACGAGATATTTTACCAGCTCCTGTAATTGAATCTGCATCGGACGTCATGTATGGACGTGTTATGGAAGAATTCGCATTTCCAAATCCCAATCCCACATATGATTATGAGCCCTCTCAAAAGAGTGTCGCACAGATCCCAAGGCCAACAAAATATGAATGGACACTAACACCTCCATACATGAGTACTGGTCATCGCCCATTAAAATCTTACAATTTAGAATTCTCGTTTTCTGGTGTCGGAAGCCAAATTAAGCGCATTATGAAGGGAAACCCAGAAATGGATGTTGTAGAAAGGAGATTACTTGCTCAAGAGACCATGCGAATCGCATTTGAACACCTCGCTTCTAGAGTGATCCTAAATCTTGAGCGCTCAGATTTGAAGGACACAAAAACGCTCGTTGTCTCGGGAGGTGTTGCTGCGAATCAATATTTGAAGTACATATTAAGGTCATTACTTGATGTTTGGGGTTATAAAAACATGAGGTTATTATTTCCACCTCCAAAATTCTGTACAGATAATGCAGCTATGATTGGGTGGACGGGTATCGAGATGTGGGAAGCTGGTTGGAGGAGCAATTTGGATATCCTGGCGGCTAAAAAATGGCCAATTGACCCTAGAACTGAGGGTGGGATACTTGGTTTAGATGGCTGGAAGAATGAAACTATTTAGATTAGCTGTTGAAGTCTCCTTCTGTGGCCGTTCTTCAATCGCGTAACGATCCTATTTTCCGGATATCGATATCAGCAGATCTGTGCCGAAATTGCAGGCCGATACCTTCTCAGCTTCTCCTTGGTGTCTCCTTAGTCTTCTCGAATTTTTTACTTTCTTTCAAGCTCCAAAACCTTCTTGATCGATGTAATAGTACCTAGAACACTCCCCCACTTCATTTTCCTCCTCACGTACCATCGCATACCAAGCTGGCCTGACGATATTTGTGTGGCCCTCGACGTTGCAAACTAAGTTTGAAAGATGCTCGACGGTAGGAAGCTTCGTTCACAAAGTGTAAATCAAACGTCCTGTTTGATGTGTCAAACAAAACCCAACCCTGTGTTGAGCAACGAAACTATCAAATTCTATCTGGAGAAGGAGAATACGGCATTTAATAAATAGAACGGAGATCTCAATTGGATAATCCCAGCTCCCAAGTTGTGATTAGGTATGTGATATCGTTGATAGCTCTCTTACTCATTCTAGAGTGTTGGCCGGTCAATCATTGAAAAGCAGAGTAGGTGGAGTGAGTCTGTTTTTTTTTAGAAAAATGAGCTTACCACTATAGGTTTTGTTTGTATTTGAAGACCTTGTCAAAACATGTGGTGTAAGGTCTAAGGAGAGAAACGTGTAGACAGTAGGTCTGATATCGTTGGGGAAACCTTGTGCTAACAAATACTAACTTGAGCATTCACTTCATGGAGTATTCATAAATCTGTCCTGATTGTCATTTGCTGTCTATGTGTAAGTCTTCTCAGTACTGTCTTTATTGTCATTTGCTGTTTGTGTTTCTTATTAGCATCTATTTTGAAAACTCGAAGTATATGGATTGACTCAGCGCTGTCTGTTTGGAAAACATTACAACATCCCCAAGCATTTGCATAAGTGATGATTTGTATGAGTAACAATGAACTTATATGACTAGTCCTGTCTATATATCTAGAACTATTTACTCAGTACCTCATCCTTCTTATGAATATCAGGCGATATAGCCCTATACTTTATGCATATATAAAATTTACACACCTAATTCAGAGTTTATCTAACTAAATGGGCACTAACAAAATTAGTCGGCTCTTTAAGCGGCCGACTATTACTGCTCCATTGAAAGAAACTTTTGTTAGTGTTTTGGAAAGTCATCCAATTAGATCTTTCTTTCAACTTTCACATTGGAGATGAGATTTCAATATTCCATTGCTCTGTTTAGTTGCTCATTATCCATAGAAGTGGTTATGAATTCGAATTGAATCATTTGTCTATCTACTCATTTATCCATAAATTTGCTCATCTCTTCATAATATTGCCGAAGTGACCCCAAAATGAAGAAAATATTCACCATCACAATACAAATGAAAAAAATTGACCGCAACCTGTCTACATTAGGGCTACGGCCCAAGCACAGAATGCAAAATTTGTGATTAGCTTTTATTTTCCGTCTACAAAAGCAGCTTTTGGAACCACACATTTTTTTATTTCACAACATTACATCAAGTTGTACATTTAGGTAAGTTTATTAATCCTTTCCACGATCAACCTAAGAGACAATTTTCTTCGATTTCTTTGACTAACATTATTAATTGTTGTAGAGTTCACTTGTCCTGTACCATATCCTGATCAAAGATGTCTACACCATCTGGCTCTGGCTCTCGAAAGGACAGGAAAGTTTCGAGAAAACCCAAAGTTCTATCAGATAGATCACAGAAAACTCCCTCCGTCACAGCTCAACCTGATCAAAGACCACCTGTTGCACCTCCTGCCTCGGACAACACTCCAGAACAAGCATCTGTCAATGTTGACCAACAAGCTCGAGACATTACCACAGGACATAACCCAGAGTCTGTACGTCTTCTCAAATTACCAACTTTGCCATCTCAGAGGCCTAATCTACAAAATTCTTTTGCCGATCCCTTCAAGTGGCAACCACTTCCAGGAGAGCCTTTGAGTCCAAGTCACGGCAGCTCTCTACCACAGGATATCTGGAAACCACAAAATTACAGAAAACATGGCAACACTAGAAACAATGGTGCTGCTCATGGCACTCCTTTGGGTCCAGACATTTGGAAACCGCAAAGTTACGCTAGAGATGGTGATAGAGACAGTCATGGTTCCCGTCTTTTCACTCCTACTCCGAATCCTCGGAGAGCGAGCTCAAGAATGGATCGGGTCAACTCTAATCAGCGAATACCTCCACTAACACATGCTGCCCCACCAACCAACAATAGGTTCGCCCAACGACTCCCTCCGTTAGCACCAGCTGCTCCAAAATCAAAGATAGCGTATGCTCCGGGATTTCCCTCATCATCAAAGAAAGTAGCTACCAACAGCAGCTCGGCTATACGACAATCATTATTAACACCAGCTGCCCCACAACACCCTCGATCAACACAAGTTGTTCCAAATCCCAGCATCAACTACGCTGCACAACCACCAGTAGTCAATCCCACTACCACCCTCGACTACATTCCCTCTGAAGCCGCCGAAGAGCTTCGAGACAGACTCTTCAAGCTCACCTCCGACTACCAACGTCTCTACAGCATTTTCATGCCTAGCGGACATGTCAGCCCCCATGCCGCTCGCTGGAACTCAATCGACATCGATCTTCCCTATCTCTTCGAAGTTCGTCAGCAAGTTATCAATTGCCTGGTTGCTACCAAGAGATTCGAAAATGGAGAAGAGATCAAAGACGTGGAAGGATTCAAGGAAACTCAAAAACTTTTCTTTAAGAATTTGGAGGAGGCTGTCGATATTGCTATTGAGAAGATGACTTGGTTGAGGAGAGAGTTGGAGGGTCCGGATGGGTGTGCTTATCAGCATCGGAATTGGTACTATCAGGTTATTGGGAACAATCTAAGGAGTACTTGTTTGCCTTCAGCGAGGGAGGATGGGGATGTTGAGGGTGGAGATGCTGGAGATAGTGACAAAGCTACAAGACATGGCGATGAACATGGTAACTTGGTATCTCCATCGCTGGACTCCGAAGATGAAAAAGAAATGAGGGCGGAGAAGCGCATGAGGATGTAGTGTTTGAGGGACTCAATACATTGTTTGGTGTTGTTGTTGTTGGTGGTGGTGGATCTGTTTAGAGATTGAACTGGCATTGGCTGTGACAGCTTCCTAGGTACTAGTTATTTAGATTTATTCATTGTTTCGTTGACATGTCTGCACTTTCTTTCTTAGGATACCAATAAGCATTCTAGCACATTCCCTTTCGATGATCTGGAGAATGAAGGGTAGGATTTGTTGTAGCTTTAGATAAATATGATAATGAAAAGGCTTGGCAATGAGAATCTTCTACAAATTAGCATTCAGGCTTTCACAATGCAAGACTTTCAAAGCAATAGTGACTCAAAATAGATGCTATAGTATTATCAAGCTAACATTGAGTATATGTCCAAAGGCAAGTCAAGGAGTATATGAAACCCCTCTTTTTTTGTCTTTTATCGCTATGAAATGCGGACAAAGAGATCCATCCAACGAAATAACTAATTAAACTGAATACATAGGGAAGTGTGATATCTTGTGTATCCTAATCACTACAAAGAAAGGACGTTGATCAGTAGGAAGGTTGAACTAGGAAAAGTTTAGAGACCGGCAGGGCACTCTCGAAGCAATAATTATATCCATCATTCAGATATTGATTGTCTTTGTTTTCAAAGAAGTTTCTTAGAAGTTCTTTCCCTTGGCGACGATCAGAAAGCTCATGAGTAAGAATGTGTCCTTGCATCTCGAACTTGTACTCATAAAAATCATGAAAATCAGCTCTGACTTGCCAAGTGCAGCCAGTTGGTGCCAATGGGCAGGTATCACGACCATTTAAACACAAACCGTGACGCCAGACTGATATGGAACGGGTTCTCAAAACTTTTCTATTGATAAAGTCAAGATTGGGTCGAGCATCGTAGCGTCCGTAATGGCTCTTCGTGAGATGATTAAATAATCCTGGGAGGTCAAATGGGGCGGATTAGCAAGTCTCTATCAGGCACCGATAACTTCGCGAACCATCATGTTATCGGAAGTGCTCATTAAATTTGTCTTCTCCTTGAATGGCTGCGTAGTTCGATGACACCCGTGTACAGGACAGACTACCTGGAAGTTTTGGGTGTGGATATTCTTGGTATGTCGCTTGAGTCTTGAACAAAGATTCATTAGCTATGCATTCGGCTTCATTATGCCAGTAAAATCGGAAAAAAAACATTAACAGGTAGGTAGGTGAACGATATTATTGGAAGGAGTCGAGTTATTTACTCATAAATTACGCGGAAAAGTCTTGTTGCACCATGGATGGTCGCAACTTAATCTTCCCTTTAGCCCTCTGAGAGAAACCTTGTCAGATCTTATATTTCATATTATTGCTACTTACCCATCAGTTGCTTCCGACAATTTCGGGGGACTTGGTGAAAACAATGGTGCAGTGGCTATCTGGCCGGAAGTTTCCTCATGGTTGACGAATGGGGTCAGGGGAAATTGTGGACTGAGATTACCGGCCTCTATGAAACCAGCCATCGCAACCTCGACGTTAGGTTCTGTCGGAAATATTTCGTTCCAATCACCTAAATTAAAGTCGACAGACACATAAGTTTGAGCCTCTGGTACAAGCGTGGCAGCATATGAAGTGCTCAAAAGCGTAGTATTCAAGGACGCTGGTAACGCCAGCTCACCACTTTTATCTTTCCTTCTGTTCAGAAGATTGGTATTATAATCTGCGGCAGCATCGCTGTCGTATGCTTGCTCGTCAATCTCATTATTATCTCCCCTAAAGAGTTTTGCATTATGATCTGTTACAGCACCGAAGTCGTATGTTTTGCCGTCTTTGTATGGCTGGCGCCGCTGAACAGAAGACGGACGGGAGCCCCAAAATTAGCGTGTCTTTTTTTTTAGCCACTCACCTAGAATATTCCAATGATTCTAAAGTAAGAAGTAGCCCTGCAGGGCTTCGGGCGTCGGTCTCCATCTTATTGGGGAGGGGTTGCGAGAATAAGCAGCTACAAAAAAGTGAGGCGAACAAGCGAGTTTCATCGGTGAACGAAGTTCTGCGTAAGAAAAGAAAAATGAGTGCCAAATTTTCGAGAAATGGTAGTGGGAACAAGGTAGTATCTTAAAGTCATGATTTAAAAGACAGACCCTGCAATGAAGCGACGGCATGGATGCAGAAGACGGGCCAAGACCTACAAGAAAGCTGGGAGGCTTGCATAGATCACGTGTATTCCTAGAAAGGTCACATACATAACCTTGATAGGTTGTGAGCTGTTAAGTTAGCATTCTTGTTGAAGTACCATACAATGATTGTTCATTCGTCACTACAATCGCTTTTTACTGTTTGAAGAAAACTACGTAGGTACTCAGTATTGCCATGGGTCTGGATGTTGGATTCCTCGATTATCGTGACATAGCTCGAGATTCAATGTCTTATGCAGTTGGTGCATTACGATTCGCACCTATGTGCACAACAATTCCAGAGCTCTAGTAGGTACAATAATACTTGCTTCTAAGTAGGCTGATGGGTTTCGCATATTGCCAGAGAGTTTCAACGAGTTGTTGTTCTGAAGATATGTTTGAGATGATACTTGGTCGCATATGCCCAATGGATCACGAAGATAGCGAAAGGCACCAAAACAATTTAGTCAATTTAGCTTTAAGCTGACTATTCAGTTCAGATGGTTTCTCTTAAAATAATCATGCGCCCAAGTGGAAGCTAGGTTCTGTATCTTGACAAGGCTCTATGATACCCTTCCTTGAATCGCCCAGTTGTATGGCGTTGTTGCTCGTCGTCTCAATCCATAATGGTGCGTGGAAATCGGATGATCTTGAAAGGAAAAGTGAATACATGACCATGCACATGTTGGTAGAGATTGAATCCTGAGTTGAGATTTCAAAAACTGTCACAAACCTCTCCCACTTTCTTACTGACAAGCAACTTATCTTTACAAACAGCCATGAACAACTTTACTCCATTTTTAGCTTCATATAATGAGCTTGTCGAGCAGTGGCAAGAGCGACGTCGTATCCTAAAGAGTATGGAAGAGAACGCAGTGGAGATTCCAGAACTTATGCGGATGCTTTGGGTCTTCAAACAGTCTTGCGTTGAGTTTCAAAATTTTCAGGTTTGTTTGCGGGACCTATCCGGCGATGGGATTGCAAGACTAATTTGTTCAGGCCAAGCTGGATTACTTTAGCGCAGAATCTTCATCTGGTGATCTATTCAATCACTGGCAAGAATTGAGCTCTGATTTCGATAAGATTCGAGCTTGTTTTGCTGCACTTGAACTCAGCATTGACAACTACCACCAATCCCGCGAAATGGCTGAACTATCTCCTCTTTCTCCAGTAGATATATCTCACCAATCTGTCGTTTCCACCCATATTCAAGATAAAAAATCGAATGCGACCAAGATGGAAGGCTCAAGAATTCTTAAGGAGAGGCCAAAAAAGCTCATACTCGCCTTTCCGATTCGCATATTTCCTTATTCGTTTTTCGACAAGAAGAAAAGAGCGCGGATTGTAAGAAAAGAGCCGGGGGAGTTGACCTTAATTCTTCGAGTGAGCAAAGAATATCTCAATTTGAATGCGCGACCTCCACTAGATATGGAAGAAGAAATGCGACTTTGTGAGTATATCAGTATTCTTTTTTATTATCGTGTCTTGACTGATTCTGACTTCGTACCATAAAAGCTGTTTTGCGGTGTCAGAAAGCCGACGAAGAAGAGGCAAGGAAGAAAGCAGAGGCAGTTATGGAGGTAGCGCGGATAGCAGCGATTCAACAAGCAGCATTTGAAGCAAAAGTTCAAGCCGAACTTGAAGCAGAGTCCCAGGCAAAAGCTGCAGCAGAATCTCAGGCAAAAGCTGAAGAGGAAGCTCAAAATCAGCAGGCCATCAGCCAATTTCCAATCAATTCTGATGATTCCGCTAGTCTAGAGAGCTGCAAGCGGGTTGTCAATGATGGCAATATGCCTGCATCAATGTCAATATTTCAAGCCCCTGGCATGGAGGAAATTCGACAAGCTCTAATTACTACTACAAACCAGATGTACCTCAGTAATAAGCAAACAGTCAAAGCTTCCGCGGTCAAACGAAGAGTTAGGAAGCAGCTTCAGCTTGATAAGAATTTCTTCGAGGAGAATGGTTGGCCAAAAAGATGTGACATAATCATCTTGGAGGCATTCAAGGAGGCCTGGGTAAGTCATCGGCCAAGCACATGCCCGCAAAATTCCAAAGAGGCTTTGAAATACAGTAAACTGACTCGTTTGGTGTCACGAGTAGCATTCCGAACTTGTGGGCTATTAGATTTAGATTGCGGAGAAAACCTCGGAGATCTTTTTTGTCTGAAGCGAGTTTCATTGATATTACAAGATCCTTCCTATACTAATTTCTCATCAGGATTCATCAACATCGCTGCTAGGTTATTACTTTGGGTTGGTGGCAGAAATTTATGGATTTAAGCAATCATTATCGTTATTTGCTAAGAATAGCGTCTATATCTTATTGCGATTGGTCGTCAAAGCTAGGAAAGGCATTTCTATACAGAATATTAAATAAAATCAATGGGAGAAGCTCATATAATTGTGATTGTAATCGTAAGAACGCATGTTGTGATGTGAAAGTGATCAAACCTTAGCGGAGAAAGCAATCGCAGGCATCTCTGTGATGTAGACTGATCTTGACCCCGCGTTTGACAACACCGATTCACTTTAACCCATTCCGAGAATCCTCAAATATTATCTCTATTATTTTGAGAGAAAAAATTCTTTTAGAAGCTTCATGGATTCAAAAACTCACTATCAATCTATAACACAATTTCTTTCTCACGCATCATACCCGCCTAAACTGGAATCAGAGAATATATAAAGATTGATTCCCCAGACAACACTCTCGCCCACTCTCAAGTCAATATCTTCGCATATCACTAATCAGGTTGGTGAAGCAAATATCTCACTCCATGAAGATAAATATTGACTTTTTGACTATAGGTCTTTACCCTTGAATCACTCACAGACTTTCACGTCGATTCAACAATTCGAACTTCTCCTCATGTCGACAGATCAGCTCATCATTAAATTGCGCTACAGTAAAAGCCAGCACGAAATGATTGAGAGGATTATAAATATGGAAACCATTGTAGCCAGAGAAGGTGGCGTTGGGGGCTACAATGTCAGAAATGACAACAAGACACTGAACCTATTACACTACCTGAAGTCGACAAAGTAGTATCTCGTATCCGCAAGACTCTACGACGTAGGGACTACAATCCAAGTGTTAAATTCAGAGCATGTATTTATTTTCTCGAAAAGACATTTGAGTCTATGACAGACTTTATCGCAATAGAAGATGGAGCAGAAGGTTCGAGTGGTCAGCGACAATGGTCCGCGAAAGACAAAGATAGCCGGAAAGAGATCGAAGATTTACAACTCAGAATTGCAAAATTGCTAGCGGAGAATGAGAAATTAGAGGCTGCTAACAATGAATTAATCTGTGACGTCGACAAGAATGAGGTTGAGCTTTCAGAACTGAGAGAGGAAGTGGGACGTAGCAGAGATAATGAAAGCAAGCTGGAAGAGATCAGCAACAATTTAGAGACTTCACGCAACTCCACGGATAAAGCTCTCAAAATCTTGACGTCTCTCAAGAAGAAAGACATTTCATACCGGGAGCGTGTTTTTGCATTGAAGAAGGAAGTGAAGGAATGCAAAGCAGAAAGGGACGCGGCTCTAGTGGATTTGGACCGCCAAACCGAGAGCTTCGAGAATAAATATAAGACGTTGATTGATGAGAACACGAAGCTAACAGGGGAATTAATAAACTTCGAGAGAAAATTGGACCATGTAATGGAGGATGTGGAGGATGCTACTTCTCATAAAAAGAGGTAGGCCATAGCGTTCTTCAAGATACCAGCTGCCAATGCTATCTTTTACAATTATGGTCTGGGGGTATTTGCTTTGGCAAAGTGCTTTGAATTTTGATTCAAAAGTTCTTCCAAGAAAAGTGTTGATGTTACTCGCACGTACATTCATTTTAGTTAAAGGGTTAGCGACACTAGTTTGATAATTTCATGCTATGAACTTCTGATCACGACATCTCAAGAATTACTTTGGATGTCCGATTTAGTGCATAGAATTTCAAAATCATATTAATACATCAAGAATCAGTTGGGTGTTTCAAGGCCGACATGAGACTTTGTCTTTCTGATATCATATTGGACGCTTGCCAGATAGCGCAAAAGCGAGGATTCAGATATTGGATCTTATCACATGACATGATGTCGTCCTATAAACTAATATCTGAGCATTGAAATCAGATCATCAGCGTATATGAGACAATATCAACGAGGCTACCACCATATCTACCCAATGCCTGATCACGTTATGCACACCATCCAAGGATATACACTGCTTTGTTTACAAACCAAAAATTGCTGTATTAGAAGATACGTGCAAGTCACTTCTGCTTGAGAATATTGTGAATTTCTTTTGTCTTTTGCAGTAGTGGAGTAATTTCCTTGTTCCCATAAAATTTTATTTGAAAGTGAATATGTTCAACGCGTCGAACTAATTTGAATCACTCCCCCAAAACATTCACAACAACAGTCACAACAACGCGCTTTCGCACCGTTGCTCCTTCAAAAGGCTGCGATCAGGCATTATTTTGTGCCACAGATCGAACCCTGCCTATGAAAAACGAATAAGCGCATATTACCCCTCTTTGCTTAAAATGAAGCAGTCCTCCAGCCGTATGCCTAGTCAGCCGACAGACCAACCCAGCAACGCCATACACAGACTATCAGAAGCTTTACCTCGATTTGAATCCCTCACCGCATCCTCAGCAGCCAATCAAGCCGAGACCGAATATCGACGAGGTGAATTTCTTGAGCAGTTAGTCAGCCAGAAATATCCGACGGTGGTGGCCGAGGAGCATATACAATTTATTCGTGATTCGTTCACTAGCTTCAACGACCAACTTAGGAAATTACATATGGGTGTACCAACAGTACCTCATAAACTGAGAAGAAGTACTAGAAATGGTAATATCAACAATGCCATGAGTGCCAAAATGGATGGGGAGATGGCGATGGATGTTGATGATCATAAAGATGGCGACTACAATGAAGATAGTGGGGCTACGTCTTCTCGGCTTACCGCAGAACAAGAGGCAGAGGATGAGGAACACTGGCTCCAAGCAGTAAATTCCATCCCAAAAGATACGACTATGACCGAGTACTTTGTAGAGATGGGTTACCAAATGCCTCCTTCTCCGCCAAGGGAAGAATTGAAGGTACAAGACCAGCAAGAACTTCGACCCCTTAAGTGCCAGCCTCACTCAAAGAAATGGGTACCAAGTCTTATCAAGAATAACAAACATGCTTCATTACCACCAACGAATCCCGAGCAGCTACTCAACAATGCACCACTACACCATACTGCACCAGAACAAAATGTCGACACAACTCATAATCTTGCCGGCTCAGTAGAACAATCGCATTCCAGCCCATCAATGCCTCCTCCCAAGCGTGCCAAGACGTTGTCTTCATCCTCTACCATATGGCAGTATGGACCCAAACAACCTCCTCGCTGTGCCTCGTGTGTGCAGATGAAAAAGAACTGCGATCGTAAGACTCCTTGCGGAAGATGTTCTGGTATGCGTGAGTACAAGGTGTGCATTCCATATTGGAGAGATTTGCAAAGAAATATGGAGGCACGGCAATGAGAGTTGGGAATTTGATTCTGGGTGCATGCGTGGCACTTGGTGTGAGTTTTTTGCTGTGAGCGTTTTGACTACACAAATACTGATTAGATCACTAGTAGACTTTATCCTGGTTCTTTGTTGCATACGATAGACCATGATAATATTTATAGATTGGAAGAACGAGATTTTTGTGATTTTTTTTAATGAGCTGCAGTGTAGTTGGCGCATGTCTCATCTTCGTCCTTTGGATCAATCATACTCGAGAGATGGATATATGATGCTTTCATGGATTTTTACAGGCCAGCTCAACTAATCCAAACACCCAGGCATAGGTAGCCGTTAATGTGGTGGCGTAGAGAATGTTGTTTTATTTCCTTCTGTCTTTTCCTTCGAATTGACCGTTTCTTCTCTTCACTTACGAAGCTCTCGACCATTCTGAATTTCCTTTCATACATTTTTGTAGTGTAGAATTATAGATAAGATAATCTTGCGATGGAATATAATGTCGAGGATATCAGTGTTCTGTGAGACGATGCAGTGATCTTCTGAAGCTCTATGATGTCAACTCACACCTTACTTCAATGTTCATTTGCCAAGCTGGAAAAAGTGATTATCTGGTAAATATGATAAGGGAAGCTCAAAAGTCCTCAGCACAGGCTAGTGGAAGCAGGTCTCACGAAGAACAATTCGATACACCATAATTTCCCTTATTTCTTGTGCAAAGATACAGGTTCTACTCAGCGATTTTGAGGATTCTCACATTTGCTGAAGCTCATAAAAATTGAAAAGGCAAACAATCTAGAATACATACGAATTCTTACATTTAAGCATCTACAGTTACACAGCCTTCTCACATATAAATTAATTAGTGGCATATATGCTCGGCATCAGAGCAAGAATAGATCCAAATACTACCTCACCACTTGCAAAATTTCTAGATGTGATACCACGAGGCTGATTACAACCTGCCACCATTGGGCCTTCTCTGTGCCATCGATTCCTAATAAAAAGTGAATCAGTCTTTCAATTTGAATCGTTTTTCCATTTTGTCTTTATTCTCACTTGTTGGTCAATGCACTGTGCCCGCTCACTCCCAACAGTCCTCCTGAAATACGCGAATCACATCACGCTAACCTAGAATGGAATTGCTGACTTTTTTTTAATTGGTTTAGCGAAGTACAATAAAACGAGCCACACTAAATTCAATATCAGGCCTTGGTACAATACCGCTGGTTAAATAATTCTTGTGCCCAATTACAATCTTTTTGACTTGATCACTACATCCATTTCTGCGAGAGACTTCATAAAATCCAGAACAATTTGATAATCTTTACAATGGTTTCCTCTACCTTTTCCGACATGTTAAAATCACTTTATCATCCCGATCACATTTTCGGCGACGAAGTTACATGGTACGATGCGCCCGCCGACTTACCACCTGAAGAAATCGAAGAATATTTTGATGCTCTCAAGGACCAGAATCTTTGTATCGATTTGGTTGTGAGTAATCTAAATCATTTGATCTTACCTCTACGAAAGTAATCCTTTCTGACAGAGAAAAAGACCAACAGATTTGTCAACAATCCAGAACGGAATTATTGGCCTATACTACCTACAGACACTGTAAAGAACCAAATCGCCGTCTTTATTACAGATGAGAATCTTCCTGATGACGCTCCAGCATATATTCAACTTCAGGACATATGCGCAAAACTTTCGAAATTGCAGGAGAATCAAGGGCGAGATATGGAAGTAGAAGACCGCACAATCAATATGATGCTCCAAAAGCTTTGGGCTGTTGGAGAAACCTTATACGAGCCGGACAACATCTATACTGGCTCTGATTATAAGAGAAAGAGAGATTTGGTCTTGGAGAGAATTAATGAATGTTCTCGGACAAAAGAACGTCTTGAGACTGAATACATCGACAGTGTATCAAAGCTTGCAAAGAAAGCGAGGGCAATCTCACAAGAATGGAAGAGGGAACGTGAGGAGAGCGAAGAAGAATTGGCCAAGCAACAGATGCGGGCGAACAACTCAGATACACAACAACTTCTCCAGGATGCATGGAGAGAGAAGGCGGTACTGGAAGGCTGTTTATCTGTTTCCCAAGCCGACAATGAGTTACTTCAGACCCATTTGAATCAATTTCAAGAAGGCTATAACCATCTTCGAAGAGTGAGAGAAGGTGTGTTGGGAGAACATAATCAGATCATCAATCGTGCGATCGAAGAACGAAACAATGAAAGACTTCGAGTTCGAACTCTGAAGGGCCATCTCAGGACTCACCGCGAAGTGATTATCCTCGAAAGACGCCGACGAGATATTGCGCGAGAGAACTGCAGCGGGTTGCTGAGAAGTCTGGATGTGACAAGAGGAGAGTTGGCAATGACAAGAAGAGACCTGTTGGAAGCCAGAAATAGGGTAGATGATTTGAATTAAGGCGTTGATCTGCTCAAGATGAGATTGAGTGATCAAATAAACTGGAGCGATGAGCTGGAGATAAAGGCAATGCAAGGAGAGGTATTTAACAGAATGGGTGGAACATGGGAGCCTTCGATTTATAAGCGTAGACTCGAGGAGTATGAGGATGGTGAGATGGAAGAGAGAGCAGCACAACGTGCGCGCCACAATTAGCGGTTTTTGAATCACAATGGATATGGTTGATGTATTTCTTCAATGGTAGATGGATGAGATACTCAAAAATATTGTATTATAAACTATATGCTTCGCTCCATTGCTACCACGAAAAACTACTTCAAGAGATTATTTTCTTCCTGTCTGCCATGTCCAGACCTGAAATACTTCAGTCTGCCATCGCATCTTATATGAATAAGGATAGCTTTTGGCACTCATGCCAATTCTTTCCCTTTCCCAGGAACAAAATTTATCACGAAGTAGCGCAGACTTTCCAATATAAACTACACAGAGACATAATTTACTTTTATATACATACAGTCAGGTGAGATGAACTGGAAATATGGAACTACTGCATCAACATTTATCGTTTTTGAGAATTTGGACGCGAACAGGCTCCACTTGGCAGTCCAAGGGTTTCCACGTGTAAGATCTTACAACCTCTGGAGTCTTTCCTAATTTCTATGCCGAGTCGAGTCTTGGATGTAAGCTCTAGAATAATAATAATATTAGTATTCTAGTATTAGTGGAAGACTTAGTCACCTTAGCTTTTAGGGATAAATCGAATATATAGTATAAGAGTTGAATTGAAGTCGAATTATAAGAAAGAGCTTGAATTGATTTGAATTTGCTTACTTTTTCTAGGTTTTCTTTAAAAAATATGATAGATTTATATAATTTATGATAAAATTCTAGTAGTTTTTATACTTATAAATGAAATCGATTTAAATCGAATCTTATGAAATCATTTATATTACAAAGAGAAAGTAATCTTACAATCAATCGATTTTTTTATGCTTTATCAACAATCTTCTATATGATTTCATCACATTTTATTCCGTTATAAATCAATTTGATGAGAGATATAATGATGTAATAATATAATAATATAATTTTATAATATAAAATCATAATATATATGTTTTAGTCATCAATATATCTCTTCATTAGTAAGATATTAATAAGTGATTCAGTATACTTATTATAGAATCTCACACCGAGTTTATCCTCGATATCAATCTCCTACCATTCGTTCGGTGTTGCTCAGTTCTTCCTTTCTACCATACAAGTTTCCCAATCATCCACATCATCTACAACCGTGTCAATGAGAAATCCGACTGCTGTAGAAAACACACGATGAATCACACGACCATCATGTTAAATCTCAACCAGTGCAGATCCTCGCCGTATACTCGAAAGATAAACAGAATGATTCTCACATTGACCGTGTTGAATCATACGGCATTTTCATTGTCGCTCATTACTCACAAACAGCCAGCGCTGCTGTACTATGTCAAACCGTACTGAAATATGATCTTTCATGTAGCTTAAAGCATCTCTTCTCACCAGTTTGATTCTGCTTCTTTACAATAACTTTCTTGAAATCAACTTGACTTAATAAGAGAGAAAGCTTACTTTAGAATTCTGACACTCCAACACAACATTTCTTCACGATATCTAACAAGATACTTGTCGAATCTACCGCACCACTAGCGATAAAATACATCGATTATCACAATGCCTACTTCTCCCCAACCAAGAGACGCCGCTGCACAGACCGATGAAGACATATTCTTCGATGCTCCCGAGGAATTGTTCGAGGACGCCTTAGAGAGCCAGAATGGTGAAGAGATCAAATGCATCGTAGGTTCCCCGCACTCTCTATGCTCATACAATTTTATCTAACTGTTTATAGGATAAACATGCATACCTTGCCAATCCAGACAAAGACCACTATCCCGATCTTCCAGCATATTCTCTGCAACGCGATATCGAGAAGTTCTATTTGGGGAAACCAGCCCCCTTTGAAGTGGAAGATCCTGAGTTTGCAATGCTTCTGGGGGTGGAGGATTGTCTCATCAATTTACAACAAACTTATGAGATGAAGATGAAGAAGGAAGATAGCAAGTTCCGACGCATCATGGCTCTATATGAGAAAGTTACCAATCGTCCACATGATCCTTCTAGGATGCTTACACCCAAAGCTCGCAAGAAGGAGAGAACACTTTATGTCAGACGCCTGAACGAAATTACAAGAGTTCAGAAACTCATGGACAGAGAGTATCTGGTTGAGTTTAGGGAAATCAAAAAGGACGCAGTTGCCATCATGGATAGATGGCATGCAAAACAAAGTTCGCTAGCCGCAGTCCCTCACAAGCTGGTCGTTGAAGAACATATTCGCTGGACATTGCTCAGACAAAAGCAACTTGAGTACATTCACGATAAGACGAAGAATCTGGTCAATGACCAAGCCAACCAAATTCGAGGACTTGAGTATGCACTTGCAGTAGCCCAGCAGGCAGCCGCGGCTACTCCGTTCATCTATCTCAAAACAAGTAGTATGATCCAAGAACAAGTTTTGGCTGAGGCAAATAACATGACCCCAGAACAAATTCTAGCTGACGCATATAAGAAAATGGTCAATCAGCGACAAATGAACCACGGCGGTCAGAATGCTGTACAGCCCAATGCAGATATTGCACAAGTCGATGATGTTGCAATTTTAAATAGGCAAGAGCAACTAAGTGCGGGAGAAGACTTGGCTCAAGCTCAGCAGCCACACGGTCTCCAGAACCAAGGTAAACCGGAGCTCGTGGCTGATTCTGGAGAAGTTGGCCCATCTACAATCCCAGATCGTCAACAAGAAGCCCTCGAGGATACTAACATTCCTCAATCACAGCAACCATCGAATTTCCAATATCAAGAACGTTCGAAAGTCCTAGCAAATACTAAGAACCATGACGATGATACCATATCAAATGGTCAAACGGAGATGATCGAAGAAGGAGAAATTGCTGGAGTAGAGCAGCCAGTTGAAATTCAACAGCAGGAGATTCCAGAGCCAGATACAAATTTGCCTCAGGATCAGTCCAACCTCATGACACCCAATGGCCAAGAGCAGCCAATCGCTACTGGAGCCAACATTTCTCAAGGACAGGAATATGTTTATGACAACACACAAGAAGTCCAACAGCCAGTCAATCCACTACCGACCCCCCCCTCTAGATGCTGCAGTCCCGATTATTCCAAATCGACAGATGAAACAACACAGTTACGTTCATTACATGGAATACGAGGGTGCTCCAGGTCGAATGTACGCCGTACATTCCAGCGACCCAGTCAAGAAAGCATGGGCCAGAAAGATGGTGGATTTAGATTTTGAAAAGAAACAGAGAGATATAGTAGATGAAATTATGAAGACAGGAAGAAACGAGGTTGCGTTGAAGAAGTGGTCCGAGACAGTCAGTCGTCTTACGGCAGGGGTCTCATCAAATCGCCGGGCTACCAAGCACAATATCCAAGACTTCGACGAAAACGAAGAATCTGACGATGAATTTGGCCGCAAGCGCACTTTTGGCACATACGAAGAAGACGAGGAATTTGAGGAAGAACATAGCAGAAAGCGTGTTTGTCCAATTACACAGGTAGGTTCATCATTACTTGACTGTTGCGAAGAATTGCTAAATGAAATGCAGATCCCTTGCCCTACTTTAGTGCGTTCACGTGTTTTTGAACCCACACCAGAAGATTCCGGTGATGAGGATATGTGGGAGGAACCAGCTACTGGATATTTTGGCCATGATGGCGTGTACTATGACCCAGATGGACGATGCCAAAACACGCAGGCTTATGCTGGACAAGAATATTTCGATCCTGATGTCAACGATGAAGGCTACCCTGTCCGCCAGTATACCCCACCTCCATCTCAACAGCGAAGCCCAAGCCCTCAAAGTGCTCCGGCTTCAAGAATCAGATCATACTCTTCGAGATACACTGCCACTAAGCGCAATAGTCTAGCACCTGCTAGTCTTAGCAGGCAGAGAATGCTACGAAGTCAATGGAGTCAATTGCAGAATAACCGAACTACTCAAAGATAGGAAGCTATTGACTATATGCGAGTTAGGGTTGAGAAGCTACCGCAGGCTCGATTGTGAGGGGTAGGAATGGACTGGGTACAAAATTAATGACAAGCTATGACGAAGGGATATAAAAGGTTGCTCTAGGATGATTTAGCATCTTGTAATGGTGATAGAGCATGGATACATATCGGAAATAAAGGGGATGGTCGTTGAAAGGTGGTGGAATCTTGTAGGGGCATTTGATTTGTGGAATAAGCTGGGACGTACGAAGTTTACTATTGTACAGAGATGATGGATAAATTACGATGAAGCCTTTTGCGAAGGTATCTGGGGCAATACGACTTTATTTGGTCATTGCAAGGAAGTTTGGTAGCATGGGCATATATCTGTTGGGGGATCTTTTATGGCGGCCCTCAGTTCACAGAAGGCAGGAATGGTTTGTTCCTCTTGCCCTTTAGTATTGTGATCTCTTCCCTTTTGCATTTCCATCTTATTTTTACAAAGCGGCAGGAACATTCATCTACATGTATCTAAATGGCATAAAAAGGAAGGAACCACCTTCTCAAAAAAAACATTTAAATCCAAATCTTCTAGTGCTTTGCCTCGTGAACAACAATTAATCAATTCTTCTCGTCTCAATCATTCACAATCGATTTAGGTATAACATACATTAAATGCTTCATTCCTATTTGAAATAGTCATCACCGCTTAATCCACTCGAACCTCAAGTCCAAGCTACACAATGGCTGAACTAGCTGAGTGCCCCAAGCCTTCTTTCTGGGCTGTCTTCATGGCACTGGCTGAACAATCTGTCTGGTATGTTTCCATTGTGCCCAGAAGAGAATCATTCATGTCCAAGACATTCATCATGCTAATTACGTGACAATAGTGATCCCTCCGAGTTCAGCAACAAAGAATTTGCGGAGACAGTTGCCGCACTCACTATCGAGAGTAAAATGTCTCCACTTCCATTTGAGCCTTCACAAGTCATCACTATGGTACTCGGATTCATGGTACTAATGCAAGCATCTCTTTTCTCGAGTCCATCCAATCTTCTGTGGTTGATGTCAACCGTCTGTTCAATCTTTTACAAGTTCATCTTGGAACCTTACATTACGTTCTATAGACTCGTCGGTCCCGGGCAACTATCTTATCTCGCCTTCGAAACATTCGCCATCTTCCTTTTCATCGCTTTCTATTTTCTATACCGTGGTTCTATTGCAGGCTTAGGATGCGTGGTCAAGTTTCACCAACTCAGAGAAGCTCAAAGTATCGCTGGCATCGGGAATATTTCTCCAGATTGTCAACTTAAAGAATGCACCATCTATCTCTCGGCATGGTTGTAACAAGCATTTCAACGAGGATGCCATGTTGGTCAATCTGACAAGAAAGTCCGACGGTATATTAGTGGTTCAAAGAGAAGGGAGAGATTTCAACATGGGATTCAAAAGGAAAATTACGTCTAATCCTACATTCATTTTCGAATTCAAAGAGATGGTAGGGAATCTGTGTGCTCGTTTCAGATGGACTCATGCAGCTCTCATCTTACTGTTTGCGTTAATCATTCAGATACCGGCTGTGTCGGCGACTGCTCAATTAATACCAGGAATCGTTCTCCAATGTCGCGGTTGGACGGCGGGAGTATTTTTCACCTGCTACCGGTATATAGAAGCAGCTGTGATAGCAAAAGCTGAACTGATACCCGGAATCTTCGATCAATGCCTCAATGCGGTAAAAGAAGTACTCCGCCCCGGCTACCAGTATATGAGAGAAACCTTTGAGGGGACTATGGCGGGCCTTCGTAACGTCACCTATGAAGATATGAATGAAGAATTCCTCAAACAAAAAAGGAGCAAATCCGTGCGTGCAGTGGAGGTTGGCGATGAGTATGAAGTTGTTCAAGACAGTAAACAAGCTTTTATTACACGCTTCCGGGATGTCAATAAGATTGTGCGAGGTTGTTTGTTCTATTTACTTCGGGTTTGGTTTCTTTTTAGCTTCTTGCCTTATACTTTCCATCTTTTGCAACAGAGGATTCGTCGAGCTGTAGATAGACGTAGGGAACAAAGAGCTTAGAAGTGAGGAAAGGTGGAAGAGAGTGGATGTTTGGTTGTCAGGATGCCTACATAGCCTAGTGAGCTATGAATCAGGTTTCTGATGAGATTCTTAAAGGGATTCGTGTTCAACATCAGCGTCAATAATAATTGTTAGAGCTAGTAGATAGAAAACAATAATAGCGTTGTTATTATCCATGTAATTGTCTCCTGTCGACAAAACTGTGCTATCAGTGCTTAGAGAGAATGGATAAAGAATATGATCTGATGAATTATGATTTATCTTTCTTGCTGATAGTAGTTCACAGGTCTTCAGTACTCCAAAGAAACTTCTATGCTTCACTCGAAGCTTGAGGAGTACCCTGTTCTTTTGAAAGAAATGACTTATCAGTAATCACATATAATCTACGTCAGGTCAATCAATTCAAGATACACACGGTCATTCCACCAAGTCACAGATCACCCCCAAGACACCTAAACACTAAGTAAGATAATCCATGTATTAATCACCTAACCTACTAGTCTTCCCCCCATAGACCCTTCATTCAAACTTCCGCCTCCTCATCCCCCCAATAACCCCAATAACCCTCTAAGCCCTACTGCAAAATTCCCTTAAGCACCAAATTTCTACTCGAGCTACCTACATACACCGTCTTGGGATACTCGCTAATGAACCAATTTTGAGTTACCGGATCCCAGTTACTGATGTCGCGTCGAGTGATGCCGTATCTGAAGGTATCGGATTCGTGGGGTTCGAGCTCCATGTCGTCGAAACCGCGGAGAACGATCTTAGGGTCTGTGGGGCCGCCAAGGGAGATGTACTAGAGGGGGTCAGTGAGCTGATTTGTGGGGGGAGTGGAGAAGGGGAGTAGGGGGGCGAGAGAGACAGAAGGTGGGGGGCTTACAAGCTGAGGAATTTCAGTTCCAGCAATCTTTCCCGTATTCTTGATCGTAGCAGTAACAGTATAAAGAACATCATACAAGCCCGGATTCCCACCCGGTTCACCACCAGCAGCGAGAAGAGGTTGTGGACTACTGTCCTTTGAACGAGGAGGAGCGTGATCACTTTGATTTGCAACCACAGGACCATCAAGGTACGGATACACATAAAGATTCACCTTGTGGAATCCGGGTGGAAACTGTGCCGCCGATGCATTGTAATTGATTTTACCGAATGTTGGAGCTGAGGATGTTTGTCCTTTGGTGGGTGTATACGGACGAGCGTGTTTGCTTTGGATGCGCAGGTCGGAGTATGAGAATGTGGTATATGAAAGACCGAAACCGAATTCGTAGGATGGCTCGATGTTTTTGGCGTCAAAGTGACGGTAGTCGATAAATACACCTTCCTTGTAATTTTGTTGTGGATCTGGAGAGGAGATGGTGTAGTCGACATCTACACCCCAATCTTCGCGAGTCTTTCCCCATGTAAAGATGGATTTTGCTTGGGGGTTGACATCACCGTATAAGACGTCTGTGATTGAGTTTCCGGATTCTTGACCAGGTAGACCAGCCCACAGAATGGCGGTTACATTGGGATGATTTTTGTATGCCTCAATAATGACGGGTCCGATTGTGTGGAGGATAATAATTGTGTTCTTGTTGATGGATGCAACATGATCAATAACAGCATCTCCATTACCCCATAATGTGAGATTATTTCTATCTCCTACATTGCCGTCAACTGTAATGAAAGCTTCTCCGCCATTTGCATTGGCAAAGACTAGTGCAACATCAGCTCCTGTTGCTGCTGCGGTGATAGCGGCGAAATCGTAATTGTCGCTAACGTTTCTAACGGTCGTGGAACTATAACCATATCCCTCTGCTGCCTTGGCTTTCAATGCTGTAACTGGAGATATCAGATAAGGAAAGTTTGCAGTGCCAGAACCCCAACCCTGTAGTAAAAGAAGCAACGGTCAGTGGAGTTCATAGATCAGGTGTTAAAAGGGGAACATACCATTGCAAGCGTCCCAATGTTGCAACCTCGATCTCCACAAGCATTTGGGCCACCTGGGTTATCATGTGCATCTTCTCCAATAATAGCCAAGGTCTTTGGATTTTTCAATGGCAATGCACCTTTAGTATTCTTCAAAAGAACGGTTGACTTGGCACCAATTTCGCGGATGAGCGGGGCATGATCACCTTGCACATTGACATGTTGGTTGATTTGGGTGAAGTCTTCGTTAGCCTGGGGATGTTGATAACCATAGGTACTGAGATTCCAAGAATTGAAGTTCACTGGAACCTTGGCTGTATCTCTGCCTACTTTGTAGTATGCAGACATGATTCGAACAACCATATCATCAAGACGCCACTGAGGGATGGTTCCATTCAATACGGCGTTGGTCAAGTTAGTACCCCAGTAAGTGTTACCTGAAGCAAGGTTTTGATCTCCAGCCATTGTCATACTGAGCATTATTAGCCTATTTATCTTTCTGGAGATTGAGAAAACTTACTCGAGTCCGGCCAATGCACTAGCAACTCCAGAATGCTGTGCCCACCAATCACTCACAACTAGGAAGTGCTGTTAGCCTATACTTATGCCCAAACTTCGAAGTACATACCAAATCCTTGAAAGTCCAATTCATTTTTCAACAAGTAATTGAGGGTCCAACTATTCTCTGATCCATAACTTTGATTAATACGATTGTATGAACACATGACGGCACCAGCTCCTGCGCGAACAGCATCTGCGAATGGCCTATACAATTGTTAACCATATCCCGAGAACGAGATACTTGGCACTTACCATAAGTAAAGTTCGTGCATAGTCTTATCATCCAGATTTGCGGATATAGCAGCATTTCCGTTACTAGGTTCTCTGAAATGTTCTTGCTCATTCATGATATAATGTTTAGCGCAAGCGACGACTCCAGCATCCTCTACAACAGAGAGCCTGTTAGCAGTTATCCTCGTATTGGGATTTAGGGATACAGAAAGTTACTCAAAAGAATGAGTAGTCTTACGAATTCCTTCAATTGTTGCCATCATGCTAACTCCTGTAAGAACAGGGTCTGGGCTGAAACCTTCCCAATTTCTTCCACCTGCTGGTGCTCTTCCAAGTGGACCTATTTCAGGTTAATGAGATCCAGCAATGATTCGAATTTGTCAAATTGCTTACCAGCTACAGGACCCAATTGAACATCTATACCCTTTCCCCGATGTTCCTGGCCCATAGCAAGACCTCGAGCATTGATCAAATCATAACTCCATGTTGCAGCAGCATTCATTCCAGCAGGGAAAGCGGAATTCTGATCAGCTAATCATCATATGTCAGTCAAGGTAGCCTTTACTTTGCAAGGGAACTCACTAAATCGGATGCCGAGAGGAGAATCTTGTAGGCAAAGTCCTGGGAAACCAAGTCGCGGAATTGTACCAGTATTTCCCACACAAGATTCACCTTCCCAACCAACACCAGTGGTAAGGTTAACTTTCTCGAGAAGGGTGAGCTGGCTAACAAATTTCTTTGCTTTGGCGTATGCATCTGCCCAATCACCGTTGCCATTCATCCACGGAGATGGATAACTAGGAGGAGAGAAATCTCCATCATTTTGAGCAATTGTAGAGGTCGCAAAGAATACAGCTGATGTAATTGATACTAAAAGCTTCATTTTCGTAGCAATTGCTCGAGAGCTTCCTTGAGATGGAAGAGAGAAGATAGAAAATTGTGGGGTCTCTCCTTCCTCTTTAAGAAAAAGATGGTGAGGATGTGTAGTGAGATGAGAGGGAAATTGCGAGGGTCATGGTGAATTGTGAGGGTAATGAGAAAACTCCTCCGCATATGAATCATATCGTAACTGGACTTTCGTGCAGCGTGGTAATCTCACACGGCATCATGCATATGGCTCGGGTAATCTAGACCAGCTATAGCTTCATCTGCATGTTTCCGTGTCAAATTGGAAAACTACGAACTCATACAGCTCTACCCCAGATTATCAAATTAACGTAAAATTTCCTTGTATATACCCGATGGCGGGACCCAAAAGTCTGGGGTTACTGGGGTTACTGGGGTCTCGCTTCGGAAGCTAGGAATGACTTTATTCCTGTTCCTATGAATGGTTCGAGGGACCAGCTGCTCCGAATGTGCACCAACAAGAACACTCGACATGCATCTACAATCGGTCCGAGAGTGTGACCGACGAACACTTGGGACGAGGTGTTCTTACCTAGGTATTGCAAGGTATCATGGTTTCGAATAGTGAATCGACTTCCCCTCACTTGGCGGGGTCGTGATACAATTTTGATGGTCATTTGTGTTTGTGCATCCAATACATGCATAGTTAGGCAGGGTTGGCATCGGGTAAAGCACCGTAGATATGGTTGGTCATTTTATTTGAGTTCATTTTGGGTATTCTCCCATGACCATCACGAGAAAAGGAAACTTTCCTAGGTCATGTGTCGTACTGTTGAGGCCAAGAACGAACGGCGCAGCGGCGAGCGATTGGAGGCGCAGATAATAAGATGACAGAATGTGGAACCGGCATTGAGCCGTCCATGGAACTGAGGAAAACAAGAGGCAGCATGCCAATTAGAGTTGGCTTCGATTATGCCAACTACCGGTACATTACCTTGATCTCAGAATTTAATCATGTCAAAGGAGCCCGATTCTGATTACTTCAAGTGTTAGACTTCTCGCAAATCAAGATAGAATATTGATAGTACTTTGGCATTTAACCTTAGATGTACGGGATAGAATTACTCGCTTATTGATGAGAATGAAGGGTAAAATATGCCTTTAGCTTATAGCAATTGATTTGCAAGTGATCCCATTCTTTTTCTTGAAAGAGACCACACCGACGTGAAGTTATGCATTGAAACCACATAATCTCCGATTATTCATGACCATCGCGAAAGTTTGTTGATATTATCAACGAGTAACCTTGAGACACAGTTGATGTTCTTCATTTCAAAGCTACATCGAAACGGGCGGGGCGGCAGGCCAATACCTAACAATGACCCTCCACCTCATTTGTCTTTCAACGGTTTCCAGCTTGGGAGTTTATGACTTTTCATCACGCCTCGAGAGTCCGGCATCCGGTTAATGGAATACTGTAAGAGAACAAAATGCCAACACTTAAGCTCTTTCGAATTACCAGACTTTCGTCTCAAAACCAATTGGCGGAGACACACCCGAGTGATGAAACAACTTTGGTTGTTAGATCTTACATGCGGAGCAACCCCCGTCGGGTTGTAACCCGATTCATGCAGGGTGGGTGCAGTGAGCCACACAAAGTTCAAACAAGAAAAAGAAAAGAAAAGAAAAACTTTTTACACCCCACTTTCTTCTGAATATAGAGTAAGATCAAGCACGCTTCTGCATGTTAAATCAATATCAGGTCTTTGTGGCTCAGTTGGTTAGAGCGTTGGTCTCATATTCCTATATGAGGTGATTGTGAACAGTCACTTTAGCCATCCAAAGGTCGAGAGTTCGAGTCTCTCCAAGGACAATTGATTTTTTGCCGTTTTTAATTCTGATGAAAGTCTACCCCGTTAAATTGCAGAGAAGTGAAAGATTTCTTGCTCTTTGTTTGCCCCACCCATTTACGGATTAGACGTCGAACTGGCTCCAAATTCATCTAATGACAAGGAATGAATGAATGAATGCATGAATGTATGCATTGTGTTGATTGACTATTGTGAACAACATCATTCATCATTTTTTCCACCATCTATCGAGGAATCTTTGGCAGCAAAGTTACAGCGATACTTGTGAGGAGAATAGGTTGATAAAGAACCTAAAGAACATTCATGACTACATCTACATTTATCTATCTATCATTGATACACGATGAAATCGATAAAAACGGTAAAAATCTCAGATATCACCGGCAAGATGTCAGCACGCAATTCTTCACGTCTGAAGATACTTTTGTTTGATGATTTCAGACCTTTCCCTCACTTCGACAGCAAGTTTCATGCTCTCAATTCACCCTCGCTGACAATGTCTCCTGTCTCCTCTCCTCGTATCCTTGGCATCTGAACTGTTTCCAATTATCTTCACAATCACTACTGTTCACCAAATAGGATATCTTCTCATCATATTCTCTGGGGTCTTAATCCTGTCAACAGCGCAAACGGTTTGGAAGTTTGAAAAAGTGACCATAGCATCGAAATGTGCACTTGTTTCTATACAACGCAAGTGCCCACATGAATAGTCACAAATGTTCTGACGCAACACTTTCTTCTTCCATTCTAGATACAGTCTATGTACAAGTCATACTGGTGAATATTGGTGCCTCGATTTTCGAAGAAAAAAAATATGGGTGAATGCGTACTCCAGTCGACGCTTTCTACCCCGAGGATCCCCTCAAGTACGATGGTCTCATCTCAATCGACATATTATACAGGTAGTTTTCATGTTTTGTTGCATATCTGGGTTTCCGAGAGTTAAATAGATGAACTTGGGTGAATTCTACTCAGCGTTTGTTGCACATCTGATATGCCCGAGAGTTAAATAGATGAAGTTAGATGAATTCCTCCGATAAGTTTTGTTGCACATCTGAATTTCCAAATGGTTAGTTACTTGATACTCTTGAAATTGGCGAGGTAATTACTTCATAAAGTTCTTTTCCTCCATTATTCACCTAGGTACTGCTACGGCAAAGAACCTAGGTAAATTCCCCTCTTTCTCACTCAAGCTAATGAATTCCATTCCCGTGAATGAAAAGTTCTCTTGGCATACATATCCATAGTATAGCAGATGACTCGCATAATCATTCATGAGATGAATTCATACGGCTATCCAGCAAGTGAATATATCGTCACCAATTTCCACAACATGCAGACTGGTCAACAACGAATTCGCCGTAGTCATCCGCTTTACGGTTGCAGCATGTATTTAACTTGCATCTTTTGAGCTCCTCTTTGAGTATTCCACCGCTGGTCAGGACCCCAACATCCAAAACCATCGTTTTCTGCAAAAACAGGTACTCCCGCGCCCATTACTCGATCGATCTCGCATCTTTACACCATCTATTTGGACAGCTCCACGCACGAACCATTCAAACAACCCCATTATTCAACTCCTCAACTAACCCAACCAACCCAAACACCAACGCCCACCCACCACCATCAACCATGAACACCAAATCTTTCACCTCCTGCCCCACCCTCTCCTTCCCCCTCACCACTCTCCTCCTAACCCTCTTCTTCATCTTCCTCCTCTACATTCCCCGCCTTCTATATCTCTATCTGCGAGCCTACATTCTCTATTTCTGGAAACGTAACATGGCGAAGCGGATATCGCATTTTGAGGCGCTGGATCTGGCGCGTGTGGAGAGGGGGGAGATGAATGGGGATGGGGATGGGAATGGAGATGGAGATAGGAAGAGAAAATCAACACAAAGATGGACCTGGGATCTAGAGAAAGAAAACGCCGAAGCAGAAGCAAAAGAAGAAGAAGAAAATGAATGGGTGACGAAGGGGGAGATGGCGAAGGGGTGGGTTTGTGAGGGAGAGGAGAAGGGGGAGGAGAGTAGGAGAAGAGTGGCGGTAGAGAGTGGGTGGTTGCATTTTGTGGGGAGGGATGAGGATGGGGAGGGGAATGGGGAGGGGAATGGGGGCGAGGAGAAGAAAAAGGAGAAGGAGGGGTGGTCTGAGATTCGCATGGAGAAGGAGATTGATGCTTGAGGGATACTGGGGGTTGTGTTGAGGAAATGAGGGATAAGTGAAATTTCCGAAACCGCTAGGATCCTCGAGCGGCGTGGATATAACTGTTTAGTATATCACCACATTGTGTGCAATCGGATATCAATTCGACAGGATTATATGGTATCCGGAAAGCTCAACTTCAACTCCTCATTTCACAACTGCAACTCCTCATTTCAATTTACAAATCTCGTCGCTCACGAAACCTAAGAAGAATAGCAAGGATATGGAGAGATGGATGCAAGACCCAGTAAATACTTATACTTTCCTCTACAGATAATAATGGGATGGATAGGATAGAGAGCAGGTGGAGAGTAGAGCTAGTCTTTCTCACCACACACATAGTCTTCCGGAATATATTGTTAATTGGATTGAGTATGCATTGATGGGTTTGAATAGATATGTTGTGTTATGTGATGTGATGTTATTTCTTGAAATTGTCTAGATGTTGATGTTTGTTTGTGATTTGTTTTTGTGATTTGTGATCTGATTTGAGAGGTGGGATGAATTTACGGATGCTGTGCAAGTAATATATCTATCTATCACCCAATCACCCAAGACCTATCATATATAATCTTACATACATCTTCCAATCTTCCAATTTTCCACCCAGAATCTAGTAAAGAACAACAACAAGAACAAGAAGAAGAAAATAGACACAAGCGCAAGCAAGAGATGAATGAAAAAACAAACAGCCAGTCAGATGAAAGATCTTCCTCCCTTCATCAGATAATTTTGCAATTGATTAATTAATTACTTAGTAAGATAACATAGAGGGATGAAATTCAGATTCAAATTCAGATTTAGATTCCTATTCAAGTAGCTGTGAATCAATCTATCACCATATATCCGCGATATCAATTTATGATTATTATTATTATTATCACGATTCGAATCACGGATTGATTGAATGAAATGTATTGAATGATTCACAGGATTAAATTAGAATAAGAGTAAGAACGATAATAATACGCGAGGGGAGAGAAAAGGAGGTGAGAATAAAGATGGAAGAGGGTATGGTTGTAGATGAGGGTCTTCGAATCAATCTCAATTTCAATATTGCCTGTCAAGATGATGAGCATGGAGAGTTGACAGACTCCTGCTATCTTGGCAAGAAGAAAAGGAAAGATTGCTTTTATTTGACTATTGACTATTGACCATCGACTATGTGTGATATCCATAAAGTATCTATCGATGCCCCTCATAACCTAGATGAAAATTTGGAAATTTGAGTACGAAAAGATGATTTTTCCAACGCCATTATTCGTACCAACCATGCATCTGTTTACTTATCTGTCCACCATGAAAAAAAAAGAGTATGTATACTAGCTTTTGATATTCCCACCGCCCATTCAATAATATTCAATAATGAGAAGAAAAAAGTATTCGTAAATGATAAATAAAAATATGCAAGAACTCCCAAACTATGCATTTATGCGCCCCCGCTTGGAAATGAAAATGTGAATGCGGATTAAAGCGCGAAATCAAACTCCTTGAAAGCAGCCTTGAACGACTCAGCATCTTGTTTTTCCTCAGCCTCTGTTTGTGCACAATCTCTCCATTGGATTCTCTTTTCCAAACTCAGAAGTTTTGCTAGAACGGTTCTGCCGAATTGAAGATTGAAGCGAACATTCCAATCAAATGGCATTGTAATACATTTGGTGGTCCCTTCTGGAGCTTCTTCAGTAGGAGGTGTCCAGATCCATACGCGGAAGAAATCACCATCATTTTGACCGATTCCTGGATCTCTCACCTCGAAAGCTGGGTATTGAAGATTTTCGGCTTCAACTCGGAAGGCGGCTTCAACAAGACCCTTTTGCATGGCTTCAATAGGCATAGGAATGAGCTGCCAATGTGTATGAACACCATTGCCTTTACTGATCTCATAGGTAACAGCACCCAGTTTATTTTCGCTGCGTTGTGCAATCATTTTCTGCAGCGCCTCCTTGTATTTGTTCATTTCAATGTAAGTGTTATTTTTTGACTCTTCCTCTGGGATCAGGGCCAACGTGGGTGAATGAGAGAGAGGAATGATCAACGCGTGTGCAGGAAAGTTAATGCCCAAGGAAGTATTTGTAGTCGCTGTAGTCAAAGGTCCTTTTGCAATTGTCAAATATGCATCATCGCCGATTGAGGTAATAAGATGAGTAGCCAGATTTGGATTCGAAAGACAGAAAAAACATTCACCGGGCCCAGGAGGTGGTTGTCTTTGACCTCTACGTCCTCGGTCACGTTTATAATCATTGCCACCACCAAATCTAGAATATGGCTCCGGTTCAAGAGCAGGTCGCTTCCTCTCATTTGGTCGAGCCACAAATGGCGATGCTGTGGTACCAGTGGGCAATGGGGCAGTTGGGTCGACTGTTGCTTGTAAAGTGAATGCATATAAGGCTTTCTGTTTCCGAGGATTACCATGAGGGGCCAAGGAAATAAATCGAGTGAGGGGTCGAACGTCAGGTTCATCCGAAGTTGGGGCGTGAAAGAAAGGTTCTCGCTCATAAAAATACTCCGGAGATACAGAAAAGTGATAACGAGGTCTCAAAGCTGCACAAAGATCTGCGATATGATCTCCTGCAGTTGGATCTTTCGAGTCATCAGGAATTGGTATTTTGGAACCCGTTCGAATCGATTTTGGCCACAACGTCGTTAAGAGAATATCTGCCGTGTGCGCTCCATGAAGAGCTTTCGCATCTCCAACAGTATGAAAAGGTAGATATGATTCATGTGATAACCCTCCAATAATATTCTCGTCGAGTTGACCACCGAGCGCAACTATTTTAATCCCTTCCGAGGTCTTCGTAGTACTTCTCTTTGCGAGATAGTGTAGGTTTGGACATATCTGGGAGCATGAGCATTGGGATTCCCCGCGTTGAAGGTGAATTTACGCACCTCCTCTTCTTTCTCAATCTTCTCAATGATTCTTTTGGGTAGAGGTAATGATCCGACAGTGAAGTATGTAGGTAATGGTATGGGTATCTTTCCCGCAATGAGGTCTGTAACTGTATCTTCGGCTTCTGTGTCTTCAGCTCCAGCGAAAAGGTTTCCAGCCACGATAGCAAGGGCAAAGTTATTCTTGAGTTGCAGCGATGTTAACTTAGTAAAGACATTGCGTATATGACCGTTCACGTCGCCAAGGACAATTCTATCAATCCATTAGTTCAGTTCGCAAAAGAAGAGATGAGCTAGGATGCGACCATTCTTGGAAAGAACGCTTAGAGATACCACTAACATCTATTGTTATTGATCTTGTAAGAGAGAAAACTTACATCTTAGATGCCATATTGATATTTGAAGCCGTCAGATTGTGGGAGAGCCGTATGTTGTTGTCGAGGGCCAAATAGAATTGAATAGTATAGTATTATCGCAAGGACAATATTTGCTTCAAAAGTTCTTTGCGACGCGATTTGACTTCTCGATAAGAAAGCTCAAAAGCTCATATCTTAGCGTCACGCTAATGCAAGGACGGCAGAGTGGAGACTGCTGCTTGGGCGGTCAAAAATGGCAGAAAATGAAGGCAAAAAGAAGTGAAATACAAGAGAAGTAAGAGAAAACGAATGATAAAATCAGTAGAGAGAAGAGATATGAGCAAGGAGAGAGAAGAGAACAATATAATAATTGGAAGGCTGAGGTTTAGAAGATACTCTAGATGAAGTTGTATCCATTGATAATTTGGAGACTTTTTCCATTGTCTACCTACCTACCTCCCCGGTACATAACACTACACTACTTCGTAATGAACTCTAACTGGTAGCTGCTTATATAAGCAAATCTCCATTTCTTATCAAAAAATAAAAATTTCCATTCTCTCTGCGATTGTGGATTTTCGTTGATTGGGGACGACATAACTTTACGATGCCTGCCACAACCTCCGGAAGAATAATTAAGACCCGCAAGGGCAAGAAGGGTACTGCCCATCAAAAGAATCATCGATGGGAATCTTTTACTACAAAAATCTCGAAATTAAACTCCCTCGATCCCTTACGAAGAGTTCGTCGTCATGACCTCGATGCCGAAGATACTTCTGCGACAACCTCATATTTCAAAGCCAGTCTAGAAAAATGGACCGAACTCAATTTATCGTCTGGCTTTCAATCCTTTACGGAGGAAGTCCTTCCATTATGCGACAGCTTACCGCAAATCCTACATTTCCAGGATAAGATTATGGGTCTCTTCGTCACTTATATGGAGGGAAACCAAAGGGAATCATTGGAGCCATTGTTGGAGCTAATCACAGACTTTGCCCATGATTTGGGTCCTCGATTCGAAAAACATTATGCGAAAGCTTTGGAATTGGTTACATCGACGATAGCAGGCACCGGAAAAGATGTCGCAGTTATAGAATGGTGTTTTACATGCCTAACATTTTTGTTCAAATATTTGTCAAAACTTATTGTACCAGATTTGCGACCTACATATGATTTAATGGCACCATTACTTGGAAAAAGTGCCCAACCTCCACATATTGCCCGGTTCGCTGCGGAGGCTATGAGCTTTCTCATCAAAAAAGCTGGCGCACCAGCCCACCGAGCGAAGGCTCTTCCATTAATCGTAAACCATGCGAAATCGGATCTTTTAAGTATCGCTGATACCAAACAGTTCGGCCTATACTATCATGGAATAATGACCATGTTCGCGGAGGCGATGAAGGGCAATGGATTAACCGTACATACGTCGGGTGCAACGATTTTCAAGTCTCTTTTCCTCGCCATTGAAGAAAGTGATTTTGGAGAAAAGGAGGCAATGCCATGGGTTGATGTTATATGCGGTGTATTAACCAGTATAGTTCATCATACGACCCCGGAGACAATCAAAGAGATCCTTGAACTAGTACTGGAGGAGGCAAATACGATTACCGATTCCTTCACGCAGTCAAAGACAATGTATGATTTTAACAAACTTTTACTTTCAGCGCGGACCATAGGGATTGTAGCTGGTGTTCGACGAGCTTCGAGAGTTCAAAATTGGCCAGCCTTGTTACAGGC